TTAATATATCTTTTAAAAGGCAAATTTCTGTGTGTTTGGTTGCAGATTAAAGGACTACCTGAAGGTTTTGCTTATCCCAAAATAGGGTCCAATTATTCTGTCAAGACAGTAGAGAAGACGTGGAAGGCCCTGCAGGACTTCAAGGAGGGCAATGCGATTTTCACCTTCCCAAACACTCCAGTGAAGTGTGCTGGCGCCCCCCAGAAGATCATGTACCTATCAGAAGCCTACTTCAGGAAGGTGTGTCTTCTCTTCAGGACAGAGATGGCAAGGGCAGGCGCCACCAACTGAGTACCTGCCACAAGTCCACTTTTCTCCCTGTCCTCTGACCTCTGTATTTCTGAAAGTTTTGTTCCATGTGTACATAGTGACATAGCTGGGCACGGAAGAGACCACCCATCATGCACATTCTCTTATAAAGCTGTTCTCATAAGTTAGAAGAGGTTTTTCTACAGACAGGTTTTTCTATGACTGTGGAGACAGTCATACTGTACTTACAAAGTAGTCCATGTCAATAGTCCTTGGGACATACTTTAAAACTGAGTATAAAAGTCTACGGGCAAACTGCGTTAGAGATTGTATAAATACTTTAATATCTGTTGTTAGGCAATCAATTATAAATCACAAACACACAGACTCGAAATTGCTTTTATTCAGTCTCAAGGTTACGAGCATTTTCTGGCTTTTGATACATGCATTTGCAAATAGGCTAAATGCCAATTTTAAAGCTAAAAAATGTTCTCATGGAATTTCAGAGCTTTTGGAAAGAGTTTTTTTTTTTTTTTGGTTGTTTTTTGTTTTTGAAATGAGGGTCAAGGAGGTTTTCCCAAATACCTTCTGTGTGACAGCAGATGGCTAGTGGAGTATACCCGGCATCAGGTAGTGTGTGTGTGTGTGTGTGTGTCACTCTTTCTGGCCTTTACTGAGACATGACTTTTGGCTCACTGAGGCCTGGTTTGGGTCCAGCCATGGCAGGACCCAAAGCAACTTGTGCTTCTGTAAAAGGACGGAAAGGGAGGACGGGAGGGGGATGACTTGAGGATACTGGTCTTTGTTCTTGGAGCCTGGCCATGGGCACGTGCTCCTCTGAGCTCTGTCAACTGTGGTGACCCTGTAGGTGGGGAGCAAAGAGCCAGCTTCCGTGGTCGCTCCCGATGCTGAGGAAGTTCATTCAGGATTATAGGGTTGGTACAAGCCTTTGAAGTTCTACCATCTTAACTTCTGATAAAAAGCTGACCCGATCTCTCCTGAGGGTTTTAATTCTGGTCTGGATGAAAAAAAAAAAAAAAAAAAAAAAAAA